AGGAGTGACTTGAGAAACTGCAAGTTGCTTCTTGTGTGAGAGAATTGGCCATCTGCAAGGACGTTGCCCAGGAGATGCCTGGATGTTTCGATGTGTTACCATCCTTGTAGGAGGCTTCTCTCGTGTCCCCGCATGAGGAGCTGGAGCTGATAGAGGGAGCTCATCCACGCTCTCCCTGGATTTGAACCTGTGATCTGTCAGTCTTTAGTCCTACTGGCACAGGGGTTTAACCCACTTCTTCATTATAAATATTGTATTGTTCCTTCAATTTTTGCACTACAAATAAGATATGTGCAGTGTGCATAGGAATTTGTTCATTTTTTCCAGACTATAGTTCCGCCTCTCAACAGTCTGAGGGGCTGTGAACTGGCCCTCTGCATAAAAAGTTTGAGGACTCCTGGTCTAGCATATGGCTGATCCAGATTCAAATTCAGCATAAAATTATTCAGCCAACCAGAGGAAATACTTTTGTTGTTACTATTGAAAAACTGCTCTTTGATATCATTGAGCAGACTTTTGTTTACAATTCTCTCTTACAATCAACAAACAGAAGTCTTTCTGTTATAACTGAAAGCACTTAAGCTCTATACAGACTGTAATGCAGGTAACTCTGTTGCCATTTAATTAGGGACTTGTTACATCATTCCTTTATGCTGCCTTATTCCATTTGAAATAATCTCCAGTCAGTTTTTTGAGAGTAGATGATTGTTGATGTTCTCTATCCGCACTCGTCCTGCATTTGCAAGGGCTTTTTGCACAATCCTTTGCTTTGCGATTGATTTGGGTTTTTTTTAGTCATAGCATTATGATGGCAAAAATGTTATGACAATATAACAGCAAAACAAAGCAGCAGCAACAAGATCGGAAGAGTTTAAGGGAGTTTTAAGCATGCCACAAAAGTCATATTTCCTGCCTGAGCACTAGAATTGATCTGGAGTTTCACTAATAGGGATTTCCTTGGGAAACCTTGAAGAATGGGGCAACCCACTTTTCCCACCAATGGCTTGTGTACAGGAGGCCCTGCAGCGCAACGTAACAATGCCCAGAGAGCAATGAAGTCTTGCAATTTAGGCTGAGACACAAATGGGAGTAATGCATTGCTATGACATTATAACAGCATGGTGTCATAATGCCCTTAGTCAGAATCAAAGATCCTTCAGAAGTCATCCGTATACTTACAGATTAGGTGAGTGTAAGCTCTGAGAAACAGTTTTCTTCATTGTTGGATCCTAGCTTTTGAATTCCCTACTTAAAGCTTTCTCTAAGGCACCCATTCTGAGTCTTGTAAGCCATCTTTTCAGATGACGCCTCAGGTAAATTAATTCAGAACAAGCAGAATTTCCCTGCTTTGTTCAGAATTAATTAAACACCTGGTAAGATCCGGGTCTTACCCGGTGTGGATTGGGCTCGGATCCAATCCACACAGTCCTCTCAGTTTTGGGGGCTCCAGGAGCTTGAAAAACCAAGAGGACACCCATCCCCTCCCCCAATACCACGAAAGAACTCCTAAAAAGTTTTAAAAACTTACCCAGCTGCCATTATGGTCCTCCTTGCACCCTCCTGGTGTGAGGAAATAACGCACCAGAAGACTTAAGGGGTGTGGAGGACATGATGCACCAGGAGGGTGTGAGGAGGACCATAATGGTGGCCGGGTAAGTTTTAAACACTTTTAAGGGGTTCTTTTTAAAACCCGCTTTGATGCGTGATTAAGTCATGTCTGGAAGCACCCTGAGAGTGTGTGGTTTTTCCCAATGCCACCTAGTAAGTTTCCATGGATGAGTGGGTTCCTACAATGGATTACAAGAGTCCAACACTCAAATCACTTCACCATACTGGTTTTTGTGCTGCAATTGAATAATACAGTTGGCACTTCATAGCCAACTGTATTATTCAAAACTTTAAAATTACAATTCAAAACTTTAAAAAAGCAAAAAAATTAAAAGTAAAATTTTTAAAAAGCAAATCTTGATTTTGCCATTTTCTATAAATGATACTATTTCACTGGTTTCCCCTGACATTAAGTCCAGTCATGTCCGACTCTGGGGGTGGTGCTCATCTCCATTTCTAAGCTGAAGAACTGGCATTGTCCACAGACACTTCCAAGGTCATGTGGCCAGCATGACTGCATTTCTATTTCACTATGACTGCACTACACCACTGTTAATTTGACTGGAAGATCCATGGATTTTGATATCAATTGGTATCACTTAATTAATGGCCTTGGTGTTAGATAGAAAAATACATTCATCTAACCTTTTACAGAAGGTTGTAAGGAAGATAGCATTACCCATAGAAACTATTTGCCTTATAGTCTTGCAACCATAAAAAAGCTGTATTTCATCAGCAAAAGGATAACAGTGCGGAAAGGTCATCATCACTAGATCACTCAACTTGCTTTATCACACACAAAATTGTAATGCAAAATAGTTGAGGGGATCATAAATGTTAAGAGATGGCAGAAGCTTCAGAAAACTGCACAGTGGCAGGTGACAAAACATTCCATATTTTTGCTATTGTGTTTGGTTTGCATAGCAACTGACAATGAGACTTAGCTGACAGCTTGACATGCAGCTTCACATAAAAACCATCCAAACACAAATATTTCTTTCTTCAGAATAAGTTTGGACTTTTTGCTAGTACACATTTAAGTGAGTCATTCTATTTAAGTTATGACTATATTTGTATGTGATATTATTATTATTATTATTATTATTATTATTATTATTATTATTATGCAACAAAATGCCTGAGCCCTTTTGGAGTAAGATAATAGTATCAGTGTTGACTACATAGAAAACCTAGTGCATTCAGTTATAAAGAGAGAAATCTCAAAAGGGAAATGGGACACACCTATGCAAAATATGACAACTGAAAATATGTTCTATGGTTATGCTAAGTTTAAAGTTACAAACTCTTCGAAGAATTACGTAATTCTTTTTCGACAGCAAGGTCGTTGCAATGACAGTCAATTGTGACCAAAGATAAAAGTCTGTCGAAATATTTTTTCCCATTTATTTATTTATTTGCCCTATTTATACCCCACCTTTCTCAACCCCAAAGGGGACTCAAGGCAGCTTTATATATAGGCAACTATGCAATGCCTTAAAACAACATGCAATTCAAATGAACATTTAAATTAAAAAAGAATAAAATTAATGCACATTAAAACATTTGAAAACATTACATTCACTATTAAAAACCACGCCATCTACAATCATAATCCAGGGCCGTTCCAGTAGTCATTGCACATATTCCATATCTTACAGTGCCACAATATTTACTATAAAACTTTAGAAATAGCATGTGCTAAAATACCCCCTTTAAATGGAGTTTAGCACAAAGTCATGCATTGGATCCTGTCTCAGTATCAGCCTCCAACAGGCCCAATTTGGAAGGGGCACTCCTGATTCATCCTCTGTCATTTCACTTTTTCAGCTTCTTTTTAATATGTTTTAATTGTATATAGTGTTACACAAAATTACTGTGTATAGCGCTACACAAAATTATACAAGCATTCTGAATATTTTCCATTGGTAACATGTTTATATAATTTCCCCTCTTTCTCCCTCCCTCCCCTCCTCGGGAACAGTTTACTACTTTTGTTGTAATTATTATTATTGTTTGAACATGAAGATAATCTTGTTTAACTCCTTATATTTCTTTCCCCTTTATTCTAGAAATAAAACCTTTCCATTTTGCCTCCCAGATCTTTCTGATTTGGCCCTTCCTATAGTAACTTTTCCTTTTATTAATATAATCTTGGAGGAGGTAGTCAGCTAAATATTTACACCAAGTTTTTGTATCCCATTTTTTTAGGTCCTTCCAGCCTATCTGCTTTTTAATATGTGGAATCTTATAAACTCAGGCAAAAGCAAAGCTCAGCAGGCTCAGGCAAAAGAAATGCAATGAGCTCAGTAGGCTAAGTAGTCTCAAGCAAAAGCAAATTGCTGTAACCTTGCCTATCTTATCTTTTTTTTGCTTTGTTTGCAATATTGAGCACATTCTTAAATTGCTTGGTCACATTTGTCCCAGCTTTCATCGGTTAAATGTTGGAGGGCTACATCCAATGACCTATGAACAGTCTTCTGCTTGCTCAGCTGATTTTGCTTGTCCCTTCCTTCCCCTGCACCTCCAAAATCTACTTCCATGGTCTCTACTCTTCAGATTGGATTTGGTGGTGTGTCCAAGGCCATGGAAGGAGACATTTCCTCTGCTGCTGGAGTCTGGTGGATAGACTAAAGTCCCTTTCACACAGCTGAGTAAAATCCCACACTATCTACTTTTAATTGGAATATATGGCAGTGTGGATTCACATAACGCAACTTAAAGCAGATAGTGTGGGATTTTCTGCCTTGATATTCTGGGTTATATGGCTGTGTGTTAGGACCCATAGTCAGATTTCACACATAGCTTTGGGTTTAACCATGAATCTTTTCCTATCTGTGAAGACTTACATTACCACTAGAGTTGTTTAATGCAAATACATTCTATACATATAAAAAGAACTATCATAATAATAAATATATAGATATCTAAACATACCATTAAACTAGATCATCTCTCATGAAACCAAACATGAAATTTCTACACACCCATCATAATTTTGCCATTTATTCCAAATGAGCCCTTCATCTGAGTAATCCAAACAAATGTATTAGCAACAGTAGACTTTGCACCATCATTATTATATCATTTGTAGTAAGTTAAATGGGTGAGATGCGGTTACTGGAATGAACGTGATAGAAGTATGTTTCATTGCCCCAATTTATTTATGCATATCCTTGAACAAATATAGCTGGTTGTAATGGGACAGTTTTCTCGGGATGTACATATATTTTTATGATTACAACTTTACTTGTTAACCTTTGGACTCAAGAATGACTGAGAGCTTATTGTTGAACACTTGGATACATGATATTCATATAATGGATATACACCCTCACTCTCTAGCATTCCAAGGACTAGCTTGGTTCCTGTTGCTGTTAATCAAAGCCACATACCACTGTTACGAATTCTCTCTTCCAGGAGGTCAGCATGGCCTGTAGGGAGTTTTCTGTTGAAAATCTCAGCTGAGCGAAGGAACATGGCTTCCACAGCAGAACCCTTTAGCAATGCAATTTGATCCTCATGGTCAAGGGTTTGGAAGCCTGGAATAAAATATGAAAATACCAGATTATGAAACTAGTACTATTCTATGTATTGTTGAAGGTTTTAATGGCCGGAATCATTGGGTTGTTGTAAATTTTATGGGATGTAGGATCATGTTCCAGAAGCATTCTCTCCTGATGTTTTGCCTGCACCTATGGCAGACATCCTCAGAGGTTGTGGAATCTGTTGGAAACTAGGAAAAAGGGGTTTATATATCTGTAGAATGTCCATGGTGAGAGAAAGAACTCTTGCCTGTTTGAGGTAGGTGGGAATATTTCAATTGGCCACCTTGATTAGCACTTAATGGCCTTGCAGTTTTAAGGTCATCTGCCTTGAGTCCCTTTGGGGAGATAGAGCAGAATATAAATACATTTATTATTATTATTATTATTATTATTATTATTATTATTATTATTATTATTATGGTCTGGCTTCTTATTGCCTGGGAGAATCCTTTGTTGGGAGGTGATTAGCTGGCTCTGATTGTTTCTTGTTTGGAATTCCCCTGTTTCTGAGTGTTGTTCTTCAGTCATGCTGGCCACATGGCCTTGGAGGTGTCTAGACACTGCTGGTTCTTCAGCTTAGAAATGGAGATGAGCACCACCCCGCAGAGTCAGGCACAACTAGGCTTAATGTCAAGGGGAAACCTTTACCTTTATACCCTGCCCTTCTTACCCTGAAGTGGACTCAGAGCGGCCTTACAAGTAGGCAACAATTTGATTGAATGCTAATCAAGGTGATCAGCTGAAACATTCACACCTAGCCCCAGCAGACAAAAGTCCTTTGTCTCACCCTGGTCATTCCACAGATATATTAACCCATTTTTCCTACTTCCAACAGACCTCACTACCCCTGAGGATGCTTGCCATAGATGCAGGCGAAACGTCAGGAGAAAAATTGCCTCCAAAACATGGCCATATAGCCCGGAAAAACCTACAACAACCCAGTGATTCCGGGCATGAAAGCCTTCGACAATACATTCAACAATTTGATGCTGCATAACATACACACAATAAAATAAACAAATACATGTAAAAGACATGTCAACATTAAAACCATTTATTAAAACCACACAGTCCAAAATCATAATCCAAAGCCGTTCCAGTCCGCATTGCACTTGTTATTGAATTATGTATACAGTGGTGAATTATATAGTATGAAATGTGTTGAATGCACGTATAAAATACATGCACACACACTCTCTGTGTGCATTTGTAGTTTGCATGATAGCTGTCTGAATGAATATGCTCTAGCCGTGACTAATAACACAATTCATGCCAATATGCTTCTTATTTTTATCAAGGCTGTTTTGCAGCGATAGCATCTTTCCTCACCTTTCTTTATTTGGTATGGAACACTACCTTCGATAAAGATGTTCTAGTTTATTTTCCTTTAGAGATATGGGATGTTATCTTTGTCTATGAAGAAGCAATTGATGGAGGAAGAGTAGCTAGCAGAAGAAAAGAAAGGAGAAGAGTTCTGCTCTCTTTTCAACAACAAACTCACCAAAATTAGATTAGAAGTTGTTCCTGATGGTGCACTGCTAAGTACTATGAATACATATGTTGAAATGTAAATAATTAACACTGGATAACTACTTTAAGAGTAATGAATTAAAGCTATTCCAAAAAATGGACAGCAGGACAAATTTTGCGGAAACAATTGACTTTCTGATTAAGTTAGGTTGGCTTTGCTTTCTCTTTTTATGATAAAAGAGAAATATGTACATATTATGCAACAGTGGGTTGTTGTAGGTTTTTTGGGCTGTATGGCCATGTTGCAGAAGCATTCTCTCCTGATGTTTCACCTGCACCTATAGCAGACATCCTCAGAGGTTGTGAGGTCTGTTGGAAACTAGGAAAATGGGATTTATATATCTCTGGAAAGTCCAGGGTGGGAGAAAGAAGTCTTGTCTGTTGGAGCTAGGTGTGAATGTTTCAGTTGGCCACCTTAGTTACCATTTAATAGCCTGACAGTTTTTAGGTGTGCCCTGTCCCTGCCTGGGGGAATTCTTTGTTGAGAGGTGATTAGCTAGTCCTGTTTGTTTCTTCTCTGGAGTTCCTCCTGTGTTTGAGTTTTCTTCTTTATTTACTGTTATCATTTTAGAGGTTTTTTTAAAAAATATTGGTAGCTAGATTTTGCAACAGTTCTAATTATACACTGCTATGGTATTGTAAGTATCTTCAATGGAAATACAGATGGGAAGAGTTTAGAATTTAAGAAAACATACCTGGTAATCTTTTGGTGAATTCCACAAGAACTTGTACATGACTGGTGGCCATTTCTGTTAAGATGAGAAAGTTTTCTTCAGCACTGAATTCCTCTTGTAACTGAGCATTAAAACAGAATCACATTAATTTTAATAGTATTGGGAGCAATAATGTTCAACAGTTCCAAATCATTGGAGGGCTTCAGTCAGAGCCCATGGTTGAAAAAGCAGCAGGGTGCCTCACCTCACCATTTCTGGGTGAAGCAACTCTCTGATTAAGATTATAGCATATATCACATCTAAAATATTTTTATCAACAGTTTTAGGGATGCTATGTGTTAATTATATGCGATATGCTGTGTTGGATCCGATACCAAGAGAAAGGTGGGAAAGAAAAGGAAGAAAGGGAGGAAAAGGAAAGGAAGGAAGTTGTTATTCTTTTCCATTGACTACGCTGGCTTGTGATGTTGGAAGATGGAATCCCAATTCAAAGGTATAGTGTCCCCTTTCAAAATACTGTGATACAGTGGGGGGGGGGTATTTAGTCAGATACCAATTGTACAAGTTCTCCCACTTAAAAAGATGAGAGAGGCCTGTAATTGACATCATAGGTAGACCTCAACTATGAGAGACAACATGAGAAAACACATCCAGAAAATCACATTGTCTGATTTTTAACATGTTTGGAGAATTTGTATCTGACTAAATCCCCCCCCCCCCCACTGTACCTTGACATACAAGTTTAATTCTTTCCATGATCATGCTCATGACTAAAAAACTCATAAGTCAAAGCAAAAGTTCCCATTGGAATGCTATTAATCAATTCCAGCCCCCCCCTTCCCCCCTCCCCCCCCAACAAATTTTCCCCCTTTAAGAGTTTGGTCACAGAACAAATTAAACAATTTTAGTCTCCTCCCTCCCTCCTTGGCATTCTTGACTGGTAGTATGGCTTTTGCAACCAAAGAGGCCAAGATTCATCCATTTAACCCCTAAAAACTGAATGACAGTCCTGGATTATTTGCATTCAAAGAAGCCAGGACTGTCATTCAGTTGTTAGGGGTTAAATGGATGAATCCTGGCCTCTTTGGATGCAAATAATCCTGTGTTTGAATAACTGAATCATCGACTGTTTCATATCGCAACATGTTTATCTGCATTAACTATGTGTATTGCATTTGGGTAGAGAGTGGTGCCTATATTTGTAATATATACCATACAAAATCCATATTGCAATGAAAAACATTTTCTAGAATAATCAGAATTTGTAATCCAAATGTTCTGTGGAAAACTATATTCTGAAAAATCTGGATATATACTGTATAACAAAGAATACTCACAAGCTTTTTAGAAACTTCAGGAGGGATCCGTTGTTTATTATATGAATCCATGATATAGTGCAGGAGATTCTGTTGTTCTGGAGTTAGTTCTACTTTCTCCTATACTGGCAATAATAAACCATAAGCTTTAGTAACAGAGTATAAATGTGTGTATACCCTTGTTTAGTTACACTGAACATCACTGAGGTATTGTGATTAACAGGCCCCAATATTGTTCCACTTCTGATTTATAGAAAGATCACATTTTTATGTCACCAGCTGAATAACAGATCTATTTATCTGTTGAAAATTGTAATGAAATCTGGAAGTTTCTATCATTCTGATCCTCCAGGCTTTCTAGTTTCACCAAATAATGTGTTTGATGCTACCATAATTGTATTACCTTGTAGAACTTGGTTGTAGAGGACACTTGCTTCACATCAGAACCATCAGTATCTTCACCAGTTGACTGATCTAGAGGCTGTGATGTATTTTTTCTTAACCGTTTTGACTTGCATTGAATTTCTGTTAACAAACCTAAAATATCACTTTAAATGATTAGGTAGAATGCATTTATCAGATAATAGAATATATCCTCTTGTAATATATTTCTTTCCTCCATTTTCATCATTTTACTGTCATAGTTTTGTATGCAAGCTACAAACTGACTTGAACAGAAGGAATCTTAGACAGGTTTACCCCTGCTATTATAACCTCCTTTTTAACCTATAGCAGTGATTCCCAACCTGTGGTCTGTGGACCACCAGTGGTCACCAAGAACTAAAATATGGTCCACAGCCAGGCATGTAGCCGGGGGGGGGGGGGGCTTGAGGGCTTCAGCCCCCCCCCCCCGAAATTCTCACAGTGGTTCGCGAAAAGGCCTTACTGGTGCATTATTTAAACTGTTATGTTTATTCATATCATGATCTGATCACCATACTCAATATATCCCATATGCATGGGGGTATTGGGGTAATGATACAAAAGGTTTGCTAGGCTAGACCCCCTTTCACTCAGACTCAGCCCCCCCTGAAACTCAGCCCCCCCAAAACCCTCCCCCTGAAAAAAATCAGCCCCCCCCCAAAACGAAATCCTGGCTACGGGCCTGTCCACAGCTCATCGTTACTACACGATTGCAACGACAGCAACTGGACTTGCAAAACCATCTTATAGTGCCAAGGTAATGGGGATGTTAGGAGGGGAGAGGATGACTACCCACGGAAGGCATGACAACAAGCCTCCTGACTGCTGCTTCTCCTCCTCCTGGGTGGAGTCATTCCACGTGGGACCTGGAAGTAGGGGCGCCTTGGTTTCTTCGTTTTTAGGCCTGTTCCTAGGGTTATTCAGGGTATTGATTCCAAAAATTGCATCTGATAGACCACATCAGCTCTAGATTATTAAATATGGTTTTCTGTGGGCAAGCAGATGGCTACTACTAGGTGGCATATGTTCTGTCTTAGAAACTAAAGCTGATATGCTCTATCCAATACAATTTTCTGAATCAGCACCCCAAATAACCAAGCTGAATCTAAAGTTGACCAAAAACTGATTTCTAACCCTTTCAATACTAAAGTTGGAGAGTAATCGTTGGTCAAAGTGGTCCCTGGTTAAATGGTCCCTGGTCAAAAAAAGTTTGGGACCACTGACCTATAGCAATGAACTGTATGCTTGAAGATAACTTGGGAAATGTAGGTAATATAGAATATGAGGCTGCAAATAAATCTTGTAGAATCTTTGAGACTGAGAGAAAAAAAGTTGAGAGGGTAAGTTTTCATAGGCCTTTAATTGATTAAATGCTCCAGATTGGCCCTGTAAGTGGTCACAGGCACCATCCCAAGCCTCTTGAGTTATCTCATTCACACACCTTCTATTTTGTCAGTTTTATACTAATTTATGCAATGCTTTTGATACAAAATAAATAAATAAAAGTTGAGCTGATTTAATGGCAATCAATATTCTCCCTAAATATTGATAGAACACAAAAAACTTGGTGAATTTCATCCAATATTCAGAAAATGGACTTCCAGTCATTCAATGAAAGTCTTCCCTCTTCTCTCAAAGCTCTACCACACTTTTGGGATGAATGGAGAGATTGAAAGGAAGGAAGTTGCACAGCATCCTCTTGAGAAGACTCAACAGATAAAACATGTTTACTATATTAAGAGATGTAATGAAGAAATTGCCAACACATTAGTGAATTAGCCATATACTGTACTCATAAAAATCCTATGAATTATGGTAAGATTACACCCCATTATTATTATTAATTAATTAATTATTAATTTATATACCGATTTTCCCCCATCCAGGATTGAAAGTGACTCCTCCACATATCATTATTATAGGTATTATCCCTAGGTACTGTCAATGCATGACAAAACATTTTACAATGGATGGTATGAAGCTCTCTCTCTCTCTTTTTTTAAGATATGGAATCTTACATCTTTCACTATATTACGTGAATATGATCTTCCTTAACTTCACACGACACTCTGTCCTGGCAGAGGAGCAGGTAAATGTCAATTCAAGGACACCACCACAATAATTTAAATTAAAATATTTTTTAAACAATAGGGTCAGCTGTGTGCCCTAGTTTTGAGGCCACAGAACAAGAAAACTGTTTTCCCCCCAGAAACTAGATATTGTTGAGGAAGATATCAATGAAAATGCCTAATTCAGTGGTGAATGCTTTTAATATCCTGTATATTATAAAATTATGCGCCATAGAAAGCAAACTTCCTCTGTCCCTGAAAGAAGAGGAAATTTAAAGGATTAAAATAACAGCTCCACATAATATCTGGAAGGAGTAAAAGAGTGTTTATGAGAACGAAGCAAGAACTAGATTTGGTACTGACTTTCATTACTGGTTGTGTGTTGGCCGTTTTTTGTAATATATCAAGGGGAAGATACATATGAAACATAGGCTTGGAAAAGTCGATTTTATCCTACAGCTCCCAGAATTCTTTTGAAACCATGGGAGATTCTAGGAGTTATAGTCCATGAGAGTAATTTTTCCCAAGCCCTGCTGAAACAGATAAATAACATAAAAATAAACATAGCAATGTTGATTGATTGGCTTCAGTGACATATTTCACTTCACCTATTCCAGTGGTTATCGCAATCACATATGGTGTTGAAATGGGAATTTGTTTGATTGGCTTATTAGATTTAGGCCATCTTTCTGTCATAGGTGCCCTTTTTTGCTGCTTAACAAAATACCTTAGAATATTTTTTAAAAAACAGATATAATCTTATGCAATATAGTGGTACTTTTGGAATAATAAAGATGACAGAGCTTTCCTTGGGAGGAAGGTCCATAATTATAGTACCACTAATTTTATGTTGTACTTTTGTATTGTTGCACTCTTATATCATATTTGTTTATTTTGTATGTGAATGGCCTGTGGTCTAAGTATGAATAAACTACTATTACCAGTACTACTACTGAGATGCAACCATTGAAAAGTTTCTCTCTTCAGTGGCCACACCTCTAATCTTGTCTGCTGAGGCCATAAAAGGGAAAGGACTGAAATGGGAGATGAGGTTACCCAAAAGTATTCATCCTGCATATGGAGCATTGCAATTGGTAGTGAAGACCTATTGTCTAAGGCATATGTGTCAAACACAAGGCTAGCAGGCTGAATTTTATGTGACCCACAATGCTTTCTGTGCCAATGCAACATAGTTACATTTATACAGTCTTACAATTACAACCGGCCTTTTAAAGGCAACCATATGGCGGATGTGGTTCTCGGTGAAAATCAGTTTGACACCCCTGGTCTAAGATTATCCTTGAGACTTGTTGGTGGCCATTACTGGATCGTGTGGTAACAAATTCCACAGTTTCATTGCATGGTAAATGGGAAAAACAATTCCTAAATCTCCCACAATTTCATTCACAGCACCAGTATTATAAAAGTGAAGAAAAATCATCTGTTCTCTTTTCCCACACCATACGTATCTGCCTACATCTTTGTCATGTCTTCCTGCACCTTTAGACTTAAGCGAAAAGCATGCCAACATTATATCTCTCATGTTACCTATTAGGTTTTACTATCAGTACATTACTTATTACATATGATTTGTTAATTTTGAATAGCATGCAACAAGCAAGATTATTAACAAACCACAAATAAATTTATTTTTAATAATTAAGCACTAAAAATGTGCACAACTTTCAAATTTTCTTCAAAGTATGATTTTTGCTATAATGAGTAATCACTACTTATTGGAAGAATTGTAACATCTGTGCCATTTTCATTAGAAAATAAAAACAAATTATACTGTCCCGCTTAGTCAAAGTAAGTCATTAATTATTAATAACAGTGTTAATATAATACATTGTTTGCAAGCTCTGAAACTTTCATTGTGAGATAGTTGCTTCAGTCAACTGATTAATTAATTGTCCCAAACTTGAACTGTGGTGTTGAAGGAAAATTCTGAGAGTGCATTGGACCACAAGATGATCAAACCAGTCCATACTCAATGCCTGACTGTTCACTGGAGGGAAGGATATTAGAGGCAAAGATGAAGTACTTTGGCCACATAATAAGAAGACAGGAAAATTTGGAGCAGATAATGATTCTGGGGAAAATGGAAGGAAAGGGGAAGAGAGGCCAACCAAGGGCATGATGAATGGATGGTACCCTTGAAGCGACTGGCTTGACCTTGAAAGAGCTGGGGGTGGTCATGGCCAACAGGGAGCTCTGGTGTGGGCTGGTCCATATGGTCACAGAGTTGGAAGCAACTGAACAAATAAACAACAAGGATATCCAAGTTTTGAGATCTTGACGGGGACTAAACACTGAATTCTAAATCTATTAATATTGTAGATTTCTATGAATAAATCATAATATTGCCATCTTCGATTTAAAAGATGATGACAATATGGTCTTTATTGTAATTTGTGAAAATGACTCGAGAGAAGGAAATTTTCAAAATCAGCTTCTTTGAAATAGTTTCTTATAAGAAGCTGGGCTTTACATATACTAGCATAATACATCTGTGTGCCTATGATGCATTATGAATCAGAAGCACCTCAGTAAAGCCATAAATATCAGTAAGATTGTGTTCTCTCTCTCTCTGTGTTTTGCAATATAGCAAAATAGCACTGCATCACTGTATGAGTAAATGAAGCAAAGTCCAAGGTAATGTTAATTTCAAAGAAACAATTTCACCTAAAGTCAATTTACAAATAGGGGATGTCAAGTTTAACCACTCTTAGTTAACCTTGAGATTTTTTTTTAGTGAGAGTGAGAAATTTATAATACCACTCCTTATTTACTGGTTGTTAGGCAAGTAGTTTGCAACATGTCCTCATTGCTGCACTTTACAAGAACATGCTTATGTTTAAGTGATGAGTTATCTGAGCCTCACAGTAACAAAGTACAGGTTTCCATTGCAGAGGAAAATTCAAGTAGCAGCCCCTATTGTTGGGCTTTGTTTCTCATAGGACAATCTGAGAAAATGATCACCTGGTTTGAAAGTTTCCATTTCCAGTATCCTTGGCCAGTATTGTTTACAATGACCTATTTTTTCCCTGTTTGTTCTATTATTAGGCATCAGAAGAATAGCAGTCTTCCAAGCTCTCTTCCCTCCCTCTTGTCATTGTCACTCAGGTATAAAGCTGAAATCAATGTTACAAGAGAGGTGTATGTGTGTATACACACTACCCACAAATTCACTGAGTGCTCTCAACACTTTGGCAGCTTGATTTGTTTGTGCATTTGTTCAATGGGTGGGAATGGGTTCTATCTCAAGATCGCAGTGGTCTGTTAAATTTACAGAATGCAAGATTAATTATATTATAATTTTTGCATGAATTTGAAACACTGACAGACATAGGCTGTTGTTTTTCACAAAGCCTAACAGCTAATATAGCACCTTATGATCAGATTGGAGGATAGAAGTATATTAAAAACCCAGAGTAGATTAATTTCCGGTATGAACCTAAATTGGTACGGCACTACGGTTATGCTAAGAAGATTGGAAGCATCATCAGGGAACACAAAACACAGCCTTAATCGGATTCCTGATCTTTCCAAAAAGAAGCAAATGCCAAGAAGTGAAGCTTTAAATAAAGTACAGCTATAATCCTTATGCCATAATTTGTTAAACCTAATATTAAGAACCCAACCACATAACATGTTTAAGATCTGCAAATACTTTGTCAACCTTTTTGAAAAAATACATGGATTGCAACAGTTCTGGAAGTGATGATTATTTATTTTATGAAAATGCCAGAGGAAGAAAGGGTTAAACACAGCCTCACACAGCATTCCTATATTCATCATCTTAACAAATGACAGAAAACAAAATTCAAAGCTGTTAATGCAGGTTTATGAGCATATACACAAAGACGAATGGAGAATAAACTCAAGAACTGAGATTAAGGTTTCAGATATCCTGAGAATTCTTGAATAAATTTAGGAAAATAGTCTAATAAGATATTTCACTCCAGTAGCTTATTTCATCCTGAACCTGTGTTTTAATGCATTTTTCTCAAGTGCACTCTTGATTGGTGTTTCAAAGTCTCTTTCCAGGATGGATAACTGAGAAAGCTTCCATGATTCAGCTTTCCTCAATTTCAAAGTGATATGTCCTCTGCTGCTAGAAATCTGCTTTTCTACATTATTTAGAAATGGCATCCTGCTACCACCTTTCTTAATATTATATTTCATATATATAGTTCCTTTGAAGACATTTAAAGATCAGTGTCACAGCATGCCCCTTCCTAGATTTGGAGAACCTGAAGATGGTAGTGCACACACTGGTAACCTCAATATTGGACTTCTGCAATGCACTTTGCATTGGGCTATCTTTGTACCAAGTTCAGAAACTCCAGTTGATTCAAAATACAGCAGCCAGATTGGTTACAGGAACATCTAGGAGTGAGCACATTGCACCTATCCTAATGTCACTCCACTAGCTGCCAATTAGTTTCCAGGCAAAATACAAGGTGTTGGTTTTAACCTTTAAAGTCCTACATGGTTTGAGTCCAGGTTGCCTTCAGGATTCAATCCACCCGGAACACATAGGTCCTGGGGGGGGGGGGGGTCTGCTTCAGCCTTCCAGAACCTGACTGGTGACCACTACCTAGAGCACCTTTTCATTGCCACCCCAAGACTCTGGAATGACCTGCCGGTAGAGCTCTGAAAGCTAAATGAGCTGTCAGAATTTTAAAACCATCTAAAGGCACATCTCTTCTGGCAAGCCTTTTTTGTTGTTTATTTGTTCAGTCACTTCTGACGCTTCGTGACCTCATGGAACAGCCCATGCCAGAGCTCCCTGTGGGCCATCACCACCTCCAGCTCCTTCAAAGTCAAGCCAGTCAATTCAAGGATAACATTCATCCATCTTGCCCTTGGTTGGCCCCTCTTCCTTTTTCCTTCCATTTTCCCCAGCATCATGATCTTCTTCAAGCTTTCCTGCCTTCTCATTATGTGGCCAAAATACTTCATCTTTGCCTCTAATATCCTTCTCCCCAGTCAGCAGCTGGGCAATATTTCCTGGAGTATTAACTGGTTTGATCTTGTGGTCCAAGGAACTCTCAGAATTTTCCTCCAACATCACAGTTCAAAGGCATCTATCTTTCTTCGCTCATGCAGCCATGTGTTACTATGGGGAATACCATTGCTTTATCTATGCAGATCTTCATTGCCAGTGTGAGGTCTCTACTCTTCACTATTTTATCGAGATTTGTCATTCCTCTTCTCTTAAGAGGTAAATGTCTTCTGATTTTCTGGTTGCAGTCTGTCCTTTGTTTGATGTCTGTTTTGTGTATTTAATTTGTATTTTATAGAAATGCACTTTTAATGTGGATCTTTTATAGAAATATGTATATTTGTTGAATTTTTGCTAGGTTTGTGTTTTTAAATTGTGTTGCAGCTCACCTCGAGCCACAAGAAGAGGTGGGTAAGAAATAAAATTATTATTATTATCATGTAAAAGGTTCTAGTTAGATTGTTATGTGTTTTAATTGCTTATATGCTTAGGTTGTTTATATTTTTATGAGATACGTTTTATTGTTTACCTGTGCAGCACTGAATTTTTGCCAGATTTGTAAAGTGCCTTTTGCCAGATTTGTAAGGTGCCTGGGTCAAGAAAGGCGAGGTAGAAATCAAGTAAATAAATAGTTACAGTCCTGAAGATAACTGGAAACTTGGATGGCTTCTATCATTGCTGGTCCAATACTTCAAATGAAAACATGATTCCTTCCTATCTTTAATAGCAACGGATTTACTACTTGTGACAAGCGGTTCAGTTCAATATAAATGGAGCAATGAGAATTTTATTGCTTCACTTTTAAAAGTTTATTTTATATATTTTAATGCACTATCAAATCAGAAAATTCAGAAAGAAAATCTGGGACATTTCAATCAATCTGGTTGCACTCCTAGACTGCTCAATTAAAACAGATAGTTGTGAGATAGAAAGATCTATAAATTCGATATACATACACTCAGCCAGCATCCCAACTTCCTTGCACTTCTGTAGACGACACATCTGACACTTTCTTCTCATATACATGTCCATCTCGCAGTTTCCTCCATTTTTACACTTGTACACAGCATTTTTGGTGATACTTCTTCTGAAAAATCCTGGTGAACAAACGGAAATCATGATAAGATTTCAGTCTGAAACTACTTTTTGTTTTAAAATGAATTCTACAACTAAGTAAATAATATTAAACACAAGATATGCAATTATTTCTCTTTCTTTAGATCTAGAAAAATGTATGCTGCTTTAAAGAATACTTACTTCTATTATCCACAGTTTTTTATTTTATCGTATCAGAAGCGAATTGGGGTTATAGTTGTAATGTGTTTAAAAACACAAAGTTAAAAACTTGGCATTATACTAAATGTCCTTTGACCAGCAGCTGGTCACGTGGAGTGCCTCTGGTGTTGCTATAAGAAGGTCCTCCATTGTGCATGTACTTTTAACCTATAGTTAAAATTATATCCTCAATCCAGGATTCCAATAAAACATACAACCAGGTTCCTGCACAGTCATTTATACCAAAGGAAACTTTGTTTTTCCTCAGTGTATGCACAGATTGCACATGAATGTTTAAGTACCTGACAGATGTCTTTATACCAGAAATGAGTGGGAAAGTGAACATCATCTGGGATGCATTCATAAAGGGAACGTAGATCACTGAGCAGGAAATTGAAACCAAAGAAATGCAATAGATATCTGATTGTCTGAACATAGAATGCAATCCTTACTGGCGATCAGCCCCCTCCAAACACAATAAAATTTCCTTCTGTGTGATCTATGTTAAACTAACACCAAAGTCTCTAAAGGAAAAGCATGGTCTTCATACCACCAAGTTGATTTGGGAGCCTGCTTCTCCAAACTTGATGTTTCGTGACTGACAGTTCCAAAGGAAATTCAGTTTAATTCATTGACTGTATTCAAGCCAAAGGCAACAATGCAGTGAGGGAGGGATGGGGGGAGAAAAACCTGCCAGTTAACACTGATCAATTCTAAAGGAACAAAATTGCAGGGCCTGTAATGTGCCTGTGATGCACAACAATATCCTAGAAGACAAAAAAAATTATTTCCAGCCAGTTTGGAGTGCTGGGTTGGGATTTGAGGGAGCAAAGTTCAAGAGCCCACTCAGCCCTGAAAGTGTATGTAACCATGAGCTGTCATTTCTCTCCTTCCGGTTATTGCGAGGTTTAAATAGAATGTAGGAGGCACCTCCCTGAGCTTTATGGAAGAAAGGTAGTATTTAAAATATAGATTAAAAAACAACCCAACCAAAAAAAGGCTATGGTGTCTTCCTTTTGAGGCCTGTTCCTGGCGTTATCACAGAGGTTAAGAACATCTGGGGAGGTCCTGCTCTCAGTCCCACCACCTTCACAGGCTCAACTGGTGGGGATGAGAGACAGGGCCATCTCAGTGGTGGCCCCTCAGCTGTGGAACACCCCCCCCCCTTGTGGGATTTGAGCAGCCCCTTCCCTCCTGCCATTTCGTAAACAAGTGAAAAATTGACTTTGAGAGCAAGCATTTGGCCCAGCACAATTATTTGTACAATATAGTTGGAATTGGCTTTGGATTGACGAATATGATTATCTGATTATCTGGCTTTGGATCTATGCACAATAGTAATCTAATGTTTACATATGTTGTTTTGATGTGGTTTTAAATTGTTTAATTGCTTTTAATTGTGGTTGTTGGAATAATGCCATTCATGTAAGCCGCTCTCCTTCAGGATATAAATGTTGTAAATAAATAAATAATAATTTGGGGCACTGACTCAGAGAATTGAATTGAATAGATCACATCAGCTCTTGTTTCTTAGATATGGTTATCATGATTCTTTATAAGCAAGTAGATGAAAACTGGCATATGTTCTATATCTCAAAAACTTGAGCTGATGGGGAAAAATGGGTATCATTATTGGAACTAGCAGGTCAAATATATCCAGAAACAGGACTAACATTTGAGGCACTAAAAGTTCTGTTGGACAGTGTAATAGTAGCAGTAGCAGCAGTAGTAGTAATAGTAGAAAAAGACTTGGTATCTCTGTGAGGGCAGGCTTCATGAGTCTTGGTGGATGAAGGATGCTGTACAGGCTGTAGCACCCAACAGAGAGTAACTTCAAATTTTAACATTGTTAACTGACTTTGGAGGCTGAAGCCTACCCATCAATCTTTATAAAGCCATTATTCTAAATTATTGCTCCTTGACCTTGATGGTAAAATGGAATTTAGTCATTTGGATGGTTTTCAATCTCTAAGTAAATACACTCCAGACCATTGCTGAAATGAGGCAAAGTATTGCCTGGAAAAGATTCCATGAAATCCATTTTAAAAACATTCTTTAATGAATGAAGAAACTTCTGACTCCAAAAGCCAGAAACAAGACACGATAAATTTAAGCTTAATTGTTCTTTTGCAATAATTATAAGAGAATTGTTTTGAATTTATACACTTTGTAAACAGAAGTATACAATTTTTCACACAAGTCTGTGTATAATTCTCGATTCTAGCATATTCCTCATTTAAAGTAGCTAGTGACAGTTTTCCTTACAGAATAATAAAGTTGCATCTTTTATCAAGAAAATGGGCACTTCCCTATGTTCATTGGACGTTGCATCTAAATTGTCTTGCCAACAGTCTCCATTCAAAGATATTTGAGTGACACAGACCGCTCTCTTTTGAAATGCAAATTATGTGGTGCTTTCACTCAGAGCCACAGATTTGCTATTCCACAGTTCTCGAATTTAGTGTGATTTCCATATTAAAGAAAGGATAGCAGAGGTTAGCTTTAAAGCTCAGTTTTTCATTGCTTGAAGAAAACATCTGTTTAAGATAAATATTAAATTATGATATTTTAAAATATGTGTTCTACAATGTCTCATAATGATCAACACTACGGTATATAAAACTGCATACAAACCTTAACATTATTCAGAGAAGCAGGTTGATAATATTAAGGATGGAGCAGACATTTCTTTTATTCTATTGATATGAGACATGAAATGGCAATGTACATACACAAACTATTAAATGGTGCAGAAACCCTACAGATATCAGATAATGTATCTTAACAAAAGTGTATCTTACTAATATCATGGAATGGATACTCCTTATTTTAAAATATTACTGCTCTTAGAATATAGGTAGTTCCCAAGTTATGAACAAGATAGGTTCTGTAGGCTTGTTCTTAAGCTGAATTTGTATGTAAATCAGAACAGGTACATTTTTAAGGGTAGCTACAGCCATAAGTACATGTTTATATATACATACACATAATGAAGGCTGGGGTGAAAATTGCTGGAAGAAACATTAATAGCCTTAGCTATGCAGATGACACCACTTTGATGGCCGAAAGCAAGGAGGAGCTGAGGAGCCTTCTAATCAAGGTGAAAGAAGAAAGCGCAAAAGATGGGTTGCAGTTAAACAAAAAAAAAACAACCAAGATTATGGCAACAAGAATGATGGACAACTGGGAAATAGAAGGAGAAAACGTGGAGGCAGTGACAGACTTTGTATTTCTAGGTGCAAAGATTACTGCAGACGCAGAATACAGCCAGGAAATCAGGAGACGCTTACTTCTTGGGAGGAGAGCAATGATCAATCTTGATAAAATAGTGAAGAGTAGAGACATCACACTGGCAACAAAGATCCGCATAGGTAAAGCAATGGTATTCCCCATAGTCACCTACGGATGTTAGAGCTGGACCATAAGGAAGGCTGAGCAAAGGAAGATAGATGCTTTTGAACTGTGGTGTTGGAAGAGAGTACTGAGAGTGCGTTGGACAGCAAGAAGATCCAATGAGTCCATACTTCAAGAAATAAAGCCTGACTGCTAATTGGAGGGAAGAATAGTAGAGGCCAAGATGAAGTACTTTGGCCACATCATGAGAAGAAAGGAAAGCTTAGAGAAGACAATTATGCTGGGGAAAATGGAAGGAAAAAGGAAGAGGGGCCGACCATGGGCAAAATGGATGGATGGTATCCTTGAAGTGACTGGATTGACCTTGAAGGAGCTGGGGGTGGTGACAACTGACAGGGAGCTCTGGCGTGGGCTGGTCCATGAAGTCACGAAAAGTCAGAAACGACTGAATGAATGAACAACAACAACACACACATATGGCTGGAGCTACCCTTAAAAATGTACCTGTTCTGAGATACACACACACACACATGCAAGCTTTGAATAGTATAGGGGAGGGTTAACATCCCTGTGGTGTTTCCTTTGCTGCCCGTGCCCATTTTCAGAAGACTTCACCTCCCATTCTGTCTCTGTGATAATTGGATTTTTAAAAAATGGCTTGTTATAGAAACAAGGATTAGTGATAAAGCTTCAGTGGAGATACCTTTTCTCCATAACTCTTTCAGGTATATTTCTGTTATCTAACTTCCTGTTGTATAACCCCCTTTCTTAACTATGACTCATAAGTGAGTTGAATGTTTGTAACTCGGGGACTACTCATACAGTAAAGTGGATTTCGTTTTATGTTTCTAAATGTTCCATATGATAGAGAACAGATGTTGTCATTGTTCCAAAGTAAGCCTTGCTTCTTGACATTTAGATACTAGTCATACTGAGAATCTGGTTGTTAGCAAAATAGATCTCTTTTCATCCCTCAGACATAAAATAGGAAGAATGGCAAAAAGCATAGGTCACAAATATTTTCTGACAAGGTTTCAATATTATTACTTGAAGCCTGTTACTGGGAAATGGTCCTGTGACTATCAGTATAGCCAGTCCACTCAGGGAGATAGGGCAGGCTATAAATAAAGCATCATCATCATCATTATTATTAGATACACAACAAGATTAATACACAGCAAACTATGATGGCTTTTGTATTGGATCACACGTCAGACACTTCCCAAGTGTCTACAACGGTGTGATGTATTGATGAACAATGCATACAGATCCGAGTAGAGTGGCCTTTTGCAGATGACAGATGGTAATTTTGTCAGTGCCAATTGTTTTTAAGTGCAGGCCAATGTCTTTAGGCACTGCACCCAGTGTGCCTATCATCACTTGGATTATTATTATTATTATTATTATTATTATTATTATTATTTTCTGTGCATTCCTCTAGTCCTGGTGCTTGAAAATGAAGATTAATTATGCCAGTTTCTTACTTTGTCTTGAGATGAACAAAATTCCCTCTGCAAATTGATGTCTTACTGAAAAAGTAAAGCCCTCTGGCACAAATGTCAAATGGATTATTTAAATGTGTAACTCTAGACTCAAAAATGTTTACAGTTGCACAAAAATGGGGCCTGAAGCAAACAAAATTTCAGCAGTGACTCTACTTTAACTCTAGTAAATGAAATATATAAAGAGCCCATTGTTCTGTTTTCTCCCATTTATTTGTCCTACCTTTGCAGCCCTCACAGGTAAGAGCGTTATAATGGTATCCAGAAGCTTTGTCACCACAGACAACACAGAGCTCCTCGCCTTTCATTCTTCCAGATGAACTCCCCACTCGAGACCTCCTGGCCACAGATGCGCTCACTAGGTCTGGCTCCTTAGTGAAGAAGTTATCAGAAGGCATTTTTCTGAGTTCATACATGGTTGAGGAATACCATTCCTCTGGCTGCTGGGGATAGAAGCTAAGGCTGGAGTAATAAGACGGTGAAGAGATTGTTGGCTGTGCTGGTGGAAAGTGCACAGGGTTGTACTGGGAATATGGTGACACATCAGAATCTTGCAGTGGAGAAGTCATTGGATCTGGAAGGACACCTAGAAAACAGCACACAGATACTATTATTATAAATTTCATTTCATAGAATATTTTTAAAAAACTATCTTGCTGACCACTTTGTTGTTAGCTCCTTTTTGTACTGACGATCAATCATCCTAAATGAAACATGTTGGATGAAGTGAAAGGTCTCATTAAAACTGTTTTGCACTAAATGAGTGTAACTTTCAGAATCCTGTTTTCTTTCCTCCACCATACTTTGGTCTATTAGTCTATCTGATTTCTATCTAGGAAAGAGTGTATAGAGAAATGCATATGGCCCCCAAGATGGTTTCAGGGCTTTTCAAAGGATTTACTTTACAATAACTTCACTTTTTTATTTGGAAACACAAACACAAAAGTGTTTTGATTTCACCATCGGAAGACCCCGGTGGCAAAATGGATTAAACCCTTGTACTGGCTGACCAACAGGTCAACAGTTCAAATTCAGCGAGAGCGGATTGAGCTCCCTCTGTCAGCTCCAGCTCCCTGTGTGGGGACATGAGAGAAACCTCCCACACGGATGGTAAAACATCAAACATCTTGGCGTCCCCTGGGCAACGTCCTTGCAGACGGCCAATTCTCTCACACCAGAAGTGACTTGCAGTTTCTCAAGTCACTCCTGACACACACATGAAAAATTATCACAACATGGTGAAAGTTTTTCAAAGATGAATATGGAAACAATGCAAATATGAGAAAAATGGTGTGGCACAATTTTATAGCAAAGTTTGTGATGGAAGTGGCAATCTGGTCTGATTGTTAGTGATAAATTTCTTTTCTATTTTGATCTACAATAATTACTTATTCTTCATATGTTAAGTATTTAAGTATTCATAGTGTTGCCCCAGGGTCAGCTAGGGTGAAAATAAATAATTTTATTTTATTGTTTTAATAATATTGTCAATTGTCTTGGGAATCCTGTTGGGAAGCAAGTTGGGATTTACATATTTTTCATAAATAAAGACAAACAGATCAAGTAAACTTATTTTGAGAGTCTAAGAGTCCATCCCTCACTCCTATATAGTTTCAGTCCTTTTCCCCTTCAACCTCACCAAGTTTTCTTTTTCTAAAATGGGTACTGGATCCAGGGAGAAATGTCAGGTCATATGACTGATTTGGTGTAAAGGACTCAATTTCCATCTTTATCTTGGACTCATTCTGAACCAAGTCTTGAAATATCTGGGCATGGGCCATGGTGGCTGAAAGCTATAGTCCAAAAAAGCATATTTTCCCATTTCTGTTCTAATCTAGCATTCTATTCTTAAATGTATCTGGAAGACTTACAATGAGTGCCTGAAGACAACTGGCTTCCGTTATGACTTACTGTATCTCCAGTAACTGGTATTCAGAAGTATATTACCCATCGGCAACGGCTATTACAATAAGACCTCCTAATCCATGGGTTCACTTTCAATGCTTTCCTTTACCCATGAATACAGCTACTAAGAAAATGGAAGTATTTGTGGGCATCTCTTGGTCCACCAGTGCATTTTTATACTTGGGCCAGCAGTTAACCTTGTGCTCTCTGCATGTTGTGCAAGTGTCTGCTGAAAAAGCAAGAAGAAGAAATTTGGGAGTAGCAGATGAATGAGGAGATGTTCCTCGTGGCCATGAAAAATGTTGTTTCCAAACTCCCTTTAACTCTGTGGTAGTAGGTTATGATTAAGTAACCAACTGCAATCTGAAAATATAGAGTTTGGTACTATCTGCAGTTTCAGTCATCCACAAGTAGACTTGGAAGGTATCTTCTATTGATAAGGAGTTGTATCTTTTGTTATTATGACTGGATAAATAGAGTTAATAAAGGAAGATACATGGATAGAATAGGCAGATAGAGCATTGGGTGCATGGAATGACCTGGCAGGGAAAATAGGACTTGTAACATCTTCAGTTTTGGGAAGTCCTGGATGCTCCAGACTGCAAATAATGCCAAGTTTTGTTTTGTCACTGTGATCATTCCCATACATCCTGGTAAATTTCTGAGGAATCATCAAGTGCTTCCGCTTGCTGAGATTCACTTGCTGAGAGTACTATTCCAAGGAGAGCTTTGGCCTGATTCTATAAGGCACAGCTTATTCATGCTCACAGTTGCCTAATACATATTACTTTTGCCTAACAAAGCAAACAAACCCAACAAATCCATGAATATGTACCCTGGCTTTATAAATATGGCACACTTCAGCAGACCATGGTCATTCATAATAATAAAAATAGTAACCACCACTATGCAAGAGTTGTTAGATCAGGCCGGATCTACACTGTCCTATGTCCCAGGATCTGAGATTTTCTGTTTATCCCAGATTATCTGGAAGCGTAGACTCATATAATCCAGTTCAACACGGATAATCTGGAATCAGATCCCGGAATATAAGGACAGTGTAGAAGTGACCTCAGTCTTATCCTATAGAAAAGCATGCATATAACTTGATAGCTGCCACAAGCCCAGGATAAGAGAAATCAAAATAATCATGCAAGAAATTACTATGGAGATCAAGGAGACTAAACCAAAATAGATTATGCAAGAAAAGAGCTCAGCATTTTAAAAAGTCTTTTTGCTGGAAATAATGTTAGATTCCTCAGGACATAAACACCTAGTGCTGGATACAGTTCTGTATCGTTATAATAATCAGAGCTACTATTCAGAATGACAGTGATCTGCCGAAGTAATCTTACCTTTTCCCCCCACAGCGTTTCTATCTGACTATTTATAGGATAGTTCCGGTAAAACAAGTGACTTTGTGGTGTTGCTTTCTTAACATCCCGATACTTCACTCAAAAGTAAAAGCTAAAACTTCCTCTAAGACCAGCCAAGCCAAGGAAATTCTAGGCCAGAGGTTATACTGTTTACTGATTAACTTTATTGTAAGGTGTTCCTTTGAAAAATGCCTAACAAAATAGCAATGTAAAATTTCCAGTTCAGTGTGATACAGTCTGAAGTACATCCAAAAACTCATTAACATGAGCATTAGTGAGGCTCCATCAAGCCCTTAAGGATTATATCTGGCATCACCAAAGTTTATGAGGATGACTGCCAGGAGTAACCCTGAATTCCTCACCATACTTTCTCTCCTGTTCACAGCCAGAAACAATGCATGAATGTGGAACAAGGTACGGGCATATGTTCCTCTCTGGTACACATCCATCCCAGGTGATAGATCCAGAGCTTGGAAAATTTAAGTTTTTGAATTCCAACTCCCAGAATCCCAAAGTGATAATTTGCCTGTTCTCAATATGCTCAGCCCTCTGCTCTTCAAATCCACTGGTTAAACTGGTGCAATGTCTAGATAAGATGACTGTTAAGCATAGAGAGAAAGTGGCAAACAAAACTACACATTATACGGGAAGTGCAGATTTTAAAGATCCATCTGAATAGCAGGCACTCATTTGCATTGTCCTATTTGCTCCAGAAAGGGAATTTCAAAGTCAAAATATGTCCCATTCCCTACTGGATGTTCTTTGACCGACACATCCAATTATAGATTTCCCACATGATGTGTATGTGAATGCTGGAAAAAATAAATTCTCTTTTAAAGCTTTGCCTGAAGGAAAATTATCAGATGAGGTTAGAGGCACATACAAAAGATGGGTCCTCAAACTTTTAAAGCAGAGGACCAGTTCATGGTCCTTTGAAAAGCCGGACTATGATTTGAAAAAAGAAATAAATAATTCCTATGTACACTGCAGATATCTTATTTGTAGTGCAAAAACATGTAAGAACAATTCAATATTGAAAATGAAGGTACAGGTGGCATACAACTCCTCTGTTATGCCAGCTTCACTGGCTGCCAGTCTGCTACCAAGCACAATTCAAAGTGCTGGCTTTAGCCTATAAAGCCCTAAATGCTTCTGGCCCAGCTTACCTGTCCGGATGTATCTCCTTCTATGAGCCAGATAGGAGATTAAGATTTTCTGGGGAGGCCCTGCTATCAGTCCTGCCTCCTTCGCAGGTGCGGTTGTTGGGCATGAGAGACAGGGCCTTCTCAGTGGTGGCCCCTTGGCTATGGAACTCCCTCCCTAATGAAATCAGCCCCCTCCCTCCTGTCCTTCAGGAAAAGGCTAAAGATGTGGATGTGGGATCAAGAGTTCAGTTAGTAACCCTCTAGAGAATTATGGAATCGTGCAATGACAATTTGGAACAGCCATGGATTATGACTTTGGATAATGTGGTTTTAATAAGTGTTTTAAGGTTTGATATGTTTTTAATAATTATTTTAATAGATTTTTTATTTTATTATGTATGCATGTTTACATGGCATTGAATTGTTGCCTAGATATGTAAGCTGCCTGGGGTCCCTACGGGGTTGAGAAAGGCGGGTTATAAATAGGGCAAATAAATAAATACATACATACGTAAAAATGAAGAACAATTTTAACCAAGATTTTAATGTTTTATGTCAAGCCACTTTGAGCCTCCTTTGGGGGAGATAAAGTGGGGTATAAATAAATATTACAACAACAACATAGTCTTAACAGTATTTCAATATGGGCCTGCTTTTGGCTGATGAGATAGTCAAATTAATTACAGAGCCTGTAAGAAGTATACAAGTCACTTGAGGCAACATGAAACAACCTCAAAGAAGAATGGGTGAAGAAGTCGACAAGAGAATTCAAGGATGTAGTGAGAGAAGAAGTTCAAGCACAACTTCCTAGAACATGGCCATACAGCCCAAAAAACCTACAACAACGCAAAACTTCAAGTAACTGTATTATAAAATGAAATGAATATTATAATATTTTATTGCTGCTTTTAACATGAAAGGGTTTCTATTTCACTGAACAGTATTTGTGCCACTGAGCAACATCATTTTTGAACTTGAAACAAATCAGAAATGCACAAATTTAACAATACATCTGTTTGTAAAACCCAACAGCTGCTCATTAATATCCCAATTTTACCACAGGGTTTGTAGGAGAGTATTTAATTATAGAGTGCCCTTAAATTTAGTGACGTAAGGAGAAATCATTGCAAGATCTTCATATGAGCACATAAAGTAGCTTGAAAATAGCAAAAGGATTTTGGAAGGGTGCATTTAAGAGATCTGCATTTATATTCTGTTGGCTTTATTTTTTATTCCCATTTTAAAATTTGAGAATATCAAACATTTCCGAAGCCAGCTAAAATGACAAAAATTAACAGCATACTTAATAGGTTTCATACACAAGAAGAGATCTTCATGAAAAGAAAAAAATAGTTTTAAGGTGTATGTTAATTTTAAAACTATTCATCACCCTAGAGAAAAAAATCCACTTTAAATCTGCCTCCTGCAGAATTCTGGGGTTTGTAGTTTAGTGAGGTTGTTAAAGGCTCCTCCCTAAACTATAAACCCCAGCATTCTGCAGGAGGCAGAAACCGGATTTTAAGTGGATTTTTTCTGTAGTGTGATGAAGTAGTAAATGCAGTGTCCAGTTACAAATAAGAAACTTATACACACCATTGAACATATAGAGCTGGTGATGCAAGGCACAGCTATCCCACTCTCCTCTCTTGTCTTCATCTTACAAAACTCTTGGATATTTTGCTATGATTTGTATACTGTAGAGGAGTAGTTCCCAGCTTTTCTTTTTTACAGGGCCCACTTGACCAGGGTCTACTTTGACCAGGACCCACTTTGACCAGGGCCCACTCTCCAACATTAGTACCAAAAGGGGTGGGGCTGGTCAACTCTGTGGAAAGGAGCGGGAATAAAATAAAATAAAATAATTATGAGGAAGGAGGTTTGCGGACCAAAGGAGGTTCACGGCCCACAGGTTGAGAACCACTGCTGTGGAGACGTACTGGTCTATAGTATGTATCTAATTATCTGCAGAAGAAGTGCATTACCATTCCAGCTACAAAAGAATAGTCTGATAACCCATTGCTGGACTTTCTCAGTGATAATCCAAGTACATTGAAATTTATTGAACAAGAATTCATGAAACTCATCCCTGAAAACTTTCTAAGTAGAGATGATAAAAATTTCCTATACATTAAATAAACAATTTAATGGAACAATTTCCTATAGCATTAAATAAACGTATTTTTGAAATGTCTGGGATTTTCCAATTATACTTTCCTATATTTGTAAAACAGGGAGATCCTATTGTTTTTCCAAAAAGAGTAAATCAATTGAATCAAAGGGATTTAACTGTGTGCGAACTCAAGCTTTAACAATATTCACTGAGTGCACTGGGACACAACTATAGGATTCAGGTCTAAGTCAGATCAAATGAATTACAAGATGTATCAAAGCCTGGCCATTTTTTGTAGGATTTTACTAGAAAAAATATAGACATTTCTCTCCGTGCTATAGATTAAGTTACCATTTGACTACAAGTGTATTTTCTGATTTACCAAATAAAGGAGAAGCTTCAGAAAGAGAAAATCCATCCGTTGAAGGTAGCTGGGAATGGCTTACTAGGCTAATCTCTGATGCCATGATGTCTTTGATAGAATACTGATTGCAACAAACGAAGCCAAGTGTCAATGAAAACCTGAAATGACAAGAGAAAAATAGATAAAGCAAGTTATGAAGCAAGACTAACCCTTACCCCCGCCCCAAATGATGAGGGAAAATTGAACCACCAAGATATTTTGTATGAGGGTGAGTCAAAAATTATCCGCACTTTGGTATAGAATTTATTTTAATCAAATTTCAGAAAAGACAAATATATCATTTTTGACAGAATCATCCTGCCTTTCAATACACTTTGTCTATCTTGGCAGGGGAGTTTGCAGCAGCTGCTTTTATTTTGTGTGCTAGACAAAAATCTGAAGAAACAAAAGGCCTGCTATAGCATTGTGAATCTCTCCTGAAATGAACAATATCAACAAACTATCCCACCCGCTTTGCAGTTAAGATTAATCTCACTACTTTTGAGCTTGAGGACATTATTGGCTCAGATCTAAGTCACAGAATTATAAAGTTGGAAGGTATCCAAAGGGTCATCTAGTCCAGCTTCCACCAGGGCAGGAATCCAAAGTAAACCATCCCTGAGAAATATCTATCCAGCCTCTGCACTTTCCAATGAAAGAGTATGCCACTTTCCATAGCAGCCCTCTGAATTATCTTCTTGAGCATAATATGGGTAGAAACAGCTGTGTTTTACATTACTATGTTATGCATAAGCTGTCGGTTTCTGTAACGTGTAATGTTTATATTTGCTTCTGTAATGAACTGATGGGCAGAAGTAGTTTTTAACTGGAAAAACAGTTTTGGTGAAGCAGAACCACATGGATTGTAGGAAAAGTTGTAATAATATACAGTGATACCTCACTTATCGTGGGAGTTCCATTCCAGTAGCCCCCGTGATAAGTGAAAATCCCCGAAATACGGATGCTCTGCCCACTCGGTGGTGGCCTCCTCCTTGACGCTTGTGCTCCTGCTGGCTTTGGAGGCCCCTTGGGCGCCATTGATGGCACAGCCAGGATGTCCAAGGGGCTTCTGAAGCTGGGAGTAGCACAGGCAGCATGAAGGAGGAAGCTGCTGCCAAGTGAGGAGAGCCTCATACTGCTCGCCGCCTTTATTGCTCTGGCTTCGGAGGCCCCTTGGGCACCATTGATGACACTGCCAGGCTGGGCTGAAGCCTCAGCCCTGCCTGCCAGCACCATCAACGGCACCCAAGGGGCCTCCAAAGCCGGCAGGAGCACAGGCCGTGAGGAAGAGGAGGCTGCTCTTCCTCCTCCTTCCTCCTCCTCCCCCCATGGCTCGGGGGGGGGGGGGAGGAAAAAAACGTGATATGTTGAGTCTGCATAAAGAGAACTGCGAAGTGGCAAGCAAACACTGTAAAGGCTTTATACTATTAAGGAACCCAAACACATAGATAACATTTTCCTTCCTCTTTTGGACTCTTTATGGAAACAGGGACCTATAGATAACAACAAATACTATTGAAAGTAATGACTTCCATCAGAAGTTACCAGTCACATGGTGTACCTAGAAAGTTCATAGATAAGTATCCTCTCTAGGAATGTGTTAGGTCCTCCAGAGCATCTCTTTAGTAACTTCTGGTGGAAGCATACCATAGAATCACCTGGAAGACTTAGAAAATTCCTAAAGAGGACATATTTTGTCAGATGCAGGGAGGCGAAACTATGGTAGTATTCCCATGTATTTCATTTGTAATTTTGCCACTGGATGTTTACCTGCTTCATCTGTTCCTGTACTTATTGTTTTTGTGTAATATATTATGTGTTTTTAATGATCTGTAAAAGTATGATTGCAAGTAGGTAAAATCAGCAATGAACTCTCTGCCAATGTTGAGTCCACCTTAAAAATACTTCAAAGGCCACGAGAGCAATATTCATCTTAAAGAGGCTTCATTTTTAATGTGAAATGTGCTGTTTAAAGTGAACTATTTCAAGATAAAAACTGATTTTTATGTTAGGTTTTATTATAAAAATGTCTGTTATTCTTCAGTAGAAATCTCCAGGATTGTTTTGAGGCTTTGATTTGCATGCATGAGTCATTCTTCACAAGTATCCATTTCCCCTCAAAACGTAACACAAGACTGACTAATTAAATTGTAGTTGAAGTTATCCATGCACAAATAAAATAAACAATTTATTTTAAAATGTCAAGCATATTTGCAAAATGTCATATTTGCTGCATACCAGTGTGGCTTCTCACAGCTGGAAAATGAAATGAAAATGGTCAGATTAAACTTGAGAGGGAAGATCGCTCAGCTGTTACATTCATATGGCATAGCAGCTTGCTGCAACTTCTTTCTGCTTCCTGTTCAATGCCCAGTGGATTAGTGTTAGCTTTTAGAGCTAATAGTTTTATCAGACTGTCCCTCTTTAGGTGATGAAATGTATTACTTCATGTTGTGCAAAATATCATTAGGTACCTCTGCTCATTGGAGGGAAGGATATTAGAGGCAAAGATGAAATATTTTGGCCATATCATGAGAAGACAGGAAAGCTTGGAGAAGATAATGAAGCTGGGGGAAATAGAAGGAAAAGGAAGAGGGGCCGACCAAGGGCAAGATGGATAGATGTTATCCTTGAAAGAGGTGGGGGTGGTGACGGCCCTGAGGAAGCTATGGTGTGGGCTGGTCCATGAGGTCACGAAGAGTCAGAAGCAACTGAATGAATAAACAACAACACCTCTGCTGTTTCTGGATGTCCCCTTATTCAAATATTTTAATGGAAACCTACATAAAATGTCTGCAGCTAATGCAGCATGAGGGAAATCCTGAATTAAACTATTTAGAGCTGCATGTTGTGCAATCAGTGTTTTCAAAACTTCTTTTAAGTACATCCACATTATTATTATTACTGTGTCAGGAGCGACTTGAGAAACTGCAGTTCACTTCTGGTGTGAGAGAATTGGCTGTCTGCAATGACAGGAGATACTGAGATGTTTTACCATCTCTCATGTCCCCACATGGGAAGCTGGAGCTGACAGACAGGAGTTCACTCTGCTCCTCAACTTCAAACTGCTGATCTTTCAGTCAGCAGTCCTGCCAGCACAAGGATTTAACCCAGTGGTTCTCAAGCTGTGTGTCCCCAGATGTTTTGGCCTTCAACTCCCAGAAATTGTAACAGCTGGTAAACTAGCCGGGATTTCTGGGAGTTGTAGGCCAAAACAGAAGTACTGGTTTCACCCATTGCACCATTGGGAGCTCCATAATCATCTTTATTGGTATCCCCTCTCTCAAAAGGGGCTCAGGGAGCTTACAACAAAAATACAATATACCCAGTAATAATAGCAACCAAAACAACACAGATCAACAAATTGTAATACAAAAACCAAAACAGCCATAAAAATATTAAATTATATCAAAACATCACAAAGTATAAACTTTTGTTTTGTTCTAAACTTTTGTTTTGTTCATATTATACTTAAGAGGCAAAAAAACCAAGTTACTATTAATAGCCAATTAAAATTCAGTTGATATCGGAATCAACATGTTAAGAACTATGCTTCTAATCTGTGATTGATGGGTTTCATATATTTAATGATTTTATCGTATCCTTACATCTGTTTCCTCTGTGTTTAACTTTATTTCAAAATAAGATTTCATGAGAAATTAGAGAGTAAAACTGCAGAAATAATTGCATCATGTTAAGACTACTTGCTCAACCTTTTGAGTCTGTCCTTTCACTGAATATCAGCTGCATGTCAGTGTGTAACACAACTGAATAAACCCAGCTGTTAGACCAATATGTTTGCAGCTGGAATCAACATTATCTAGAGGCTCAGAAGTTGGGTACTAGGAAAGATCTTTGAGAGAAACACAAGAGTGTAAATAAATCAAATCCAAATTTTGCAAAATAATCGAAATAAAGGACGTATACAATCCACTTAAATTATGACCACCTCTTGCTCCAATTCTCTTTAAGTCTAATTGTCATTGGAACCATAATCAAAACCATTTTGTACAGATTAGAATGATGGAAACTCGTTCCAATTAATACGTTTTTTATTTTCAATTTACATCTTCATTAAAAACAGTGAAATAATTCTATATACATGTATACATGCATGAACAAATACAATACTTTCTAACATCTATACAATATTCACATTTAGTTATATCAATGGTTCTCAACCTGTGGCTCCCCTGGTATATAACTGGCCTATAACTCCCAGAAATCTCAGCCAAGTTTACAAGTTGTTAGGATTTCTGGGAATTAAAGGCCAAAACATCTGGGGATCCACAGGTTAAGAACCACTGGGTTATACTCTCCCCTCCTTCCGCCCCTTCCAATTTATTGACTTCCCATCATTTGAGTTGGACACATTCATATACAATTCCATTCTTCCTTCCTATTGCATTGTTTTTCTATTCTTCCCTTACACTGATTCTAACAGGTTAAATTATGAAGCCTTCTAAAAAAAATACCATACACACAGTTCTGGAAGAAGGCAGACATCCCAACAACAGAAGCGTTAATGGTTAAAGTCTTTAAAATAGCAGAATTGTACAAATTAGCAATGATGAACAAAGAAAAAAGACAACCTTTTTCATGGACTGGGAACTATTTCTAAACTTTGTAAAAACAAAAGAAAGAAGGAAAAGTTGTTTTAGAAGGATGGAAATTAATTCCAACTTTGCCAGGAAACTAAAACTCAGCAAGTTGACACATGTTTTGCTACTTTCTGTCTTTTCTCCAAGGTATTTGTGGAGACAGTATTAGAATCCATTAGCAAGAATTATTATTTAATTTACAGTGTTGTATTCTGGCAAGGAGGGATTGATCGGTTAATGCCAATAGATTACAACTGGTTGAAGTCACGAGTCAGATTCTAGATACTACTAGATAATGCCATACAAAACCAGTAATAGCGTTTTCTACAGCAAAGTATTACTATTCAGTAGCTTATTTACAATGAGACACTGGATTTTGCAAAGTTTGCATTTGGATCTTTTCTTTTTGTAGTTTTTGATAGCACATACATTTCTATGCAGGTAAAAAAAACCTGATATTAGGAATAAAAAGATTATGTACTTTTTTATCCAAATATATATAATGACTTACACTTTGTGTCTTCTTGTCGTCTTGCTGGTAGATACTAACTCTATGAATCAACTCTCTGCACTCAGTTCCAAATCCTAATGACTTTTAAATGGGAACATTTTTGTTTAGCTTTTCTCACTTTTGCAGAAGCCTTCAGTGTGATAACATGCTGACTTTAGGCTTAATCCTCTTCTTTTTATTGGCTCAGAGCGGCTGTGGAGAAAGATTACTCATTAACAGTTCTTTCTTTGATAAACTGTTTAAACAGACTTGAAATATTGGAACCTTTTTAAAAAAAACTTGGGCAGGCAATGCTTCTTACTTAGACATATTGGAATTCCTACAGGATAACATTTAAAAGTGTAATGTCAAGTTCCATCTCTTCATTCTCTTGAATTAGACAACCCAAAGCTAGCTAGCATCAGCCTGTATTCAGCTGTTAGCCCTTAAAATGATTCACCCATGGAATCAATGGGCTTTACCCAACATACATTCACATAAAATATAAAACAAGATATAGTACAAATATTTTAATGTATAATACAACTAGCACTTTGAACTGTATCCAGAAATGGATTAGTAGCCAAGTTGTTTGAACAAGAGAGCTCTATGCCTCCTGCAACTATGAGATCAAAACCTACTATACTCACTGGAGTATAAATCCTTGTCCCAGCAGAACTACTGACCAAAAGGTCAGCAGTTCAAAATCTGGGGAGCAGGGTTAGCTCCTGTCTGTCAGCTCCAGCTTCTCATGCGGGGACATGAGAGAAGCCTCCCACAGGTTGGTAAAACAACCGGGCGTTCCCTGGGCAACATCCTTGTAGATGGCCAATTCTCTCACACCAGAAGCAACTTGCAGTTTCTGAAATCACTCCTGACACACAACCCTCCCCCCCCCAAAAAAAAACCTAGAGTAACTAATCTACCATCCAGGAATGGAGCATCTCCTGGATGGTAGGCTAGAATGGATACTTGCTTGCATAGCATTGATTCCTATTCATCTTTAACTCTTGCTCTGATACTATAAATTAGGCAAGGCCCTTGTTATTGAGGTGGGAAACCTTTTTGTACCACTTTCCTACAGTACCACATCTCAGTTGACTGAGGCACAACTTCGGATGCAGGTACTTGAGTTAAAGGAGTTATCTTTATCTCTATCTTCCTTCTAATAGTAAACAAATGTTCTTAGCTTAATTTCATTTCTGTCAAGATTTTCCATAATCTTGTCGAAAAATTGGGCAGCAGTGAAAATACCATAGTAAAATATATCTAATGACAAAAGAGTTTGATTACAAATTAATAATGTTATCAAAGGTAGATAGTCAAGTAATCTTAACAGATAAGATTACTTCCTCAGAAGCCTATACAATATACAGTAGGAGTAGGAAAGATTTAGATATTGTATAGCAATTGGCATTCCATTTTACAAATGTGTGTGCATACACAAATGGCTGTGTGTGCATATGGGTGTGCACACACATGCACAAACCGAGGATATGAGTACACTGGAAGAAAAATATAAGTTCCATGCTGGATCAGACTAGTTGCCAACCCAGCCCACAATTCTGTTACGTAGTAAGCAATCAAATGCCTAAGGGAAACCCACGAGCACAAATGGAAACAATAGTCTCTCTTTCCTTGTGTTTTTAAGTGACTGGTATTTAATAGAATAATAGAACAGAATAATAGAGTTGAAAGAGACCATATGGGCCATCTAGTGCAACCCCCCTATGTGCCCTCCCTCCTTACCCCATCAGGACAAGGTGCATTGGCACCCTATCCCTGTCTCCATCAGATGAGGGAAATGATGGTTGCCACATGGCCCTTTCCCCCATCATAGGGGAGAAAGGGTCCAAAAATGCAGGTAACTCTGTTGGAGCTACCCTAAAAACTACTTTTGATGCAGCTCAAAATCCCATAGGCTTTTTAGCTGCTGCATCACACTGCTGGCTCATGTTCAACTTGTTGCCCATGAAGGTTCCAAGATTTTTTTCATATGGACTGTTGTTGAGCCAGGCATCACCCATTCTGTATCTTTGCATTCTCTTTTTTTTCTGCATAAGTGTAGTATTTTACATTTGTCCTTGTTGAAATTCATTTTGTTAGTTTTGCTCCAGCTCTCTAACCTCTTAAGGTCATTTTGAATTCTTATCCTGTCCTCTGGAGTATTAGCTATCCCTCCTAATTTAGTGTCATCTGCAAACTTAATGAGCATGCTCTATAAAACCTTCATCCAAGTCATTAATAAAGATGTTGAACAGTACTGGGCCCAGGACCGAACCTTGTAGAACCCACTTGTCACTTTTTTCTAGGATGAAGTGGAACCATTGGTGCGCACCCTTTGGGTTCGGTTGCTTAACCAATTACAGATCTACTTAATAAAAGCATAGTTTTGCCCACATTTGACTAATTTGTTTGCAAGAAAGTCATGGAAGATCTTGTTGAAGGCCTTACTGAAATCAAGATATGCTACATCCACAGCATTCCCTGAATCTACCAAGCTTGTAATTCTATCAAAAAAGAGTTAAGATTCATCTGGTATGACTTGTTTTTGAGAAATCCATGTTGACTTTTAGTAATCACGGCATTTTTTCTAAGTGATTACAGGCTGCCTCCTTAATGATCTGCTAATGATTTGATGACATCCTGCCTTAGAAACAATAGAACATCTGCTCCTTCAGTGCTCGTTCTACAGGGATATCCGTGCCAGGCTTATCTTACCAATGTTATACAAGTACCCAGGCCATTCAGGACAATTTTATACCTCCCTGCTACTTGCAGATATTAATTCAGCTACAACCTACAATGTTGCAAAGTTCTGTGCAGCAGCATACAAAATCCGTCAGGGAATGACTAGTCCCAAAAGTTAACTGTGTGTCCAGTAATTTTCTTCTCTGAATCTACAATTTGGTGATGGATCTGGGCATTGTATGTTTTTACCCTGTTTCCCCTTCCCTTCTGCTCCCTCACCCATATTGTGCTTCAGTCGTTATATTTATATTTTTAATGTACCAAACATACCAAGTTTGTATGAAAATGTGACTATTTTCTGTGCTGGTCCATGACCGAAATAAATGATTTTGATTTGATTTGACATCCTGCCTCCAATACTGGTGGTAATGTAGCAGGCATCTCAAACTCATTTCCATCAAGGGCCACATCAGCCTTATAGTTGCCTTCAAAGGGCTGGTTGTAATTGCAAGACTGTACAAATATAACTATGATGTTCTGGCATTGAAAGCCTCACAAACCACATTTGTGGTGTTTCAGATTTGACCCAGGGGCCTTGCGGTTGACACCTATGCTTTATATTGATTATCACCCATAGCCACATCTGCAAAAGTGGTGTGGTAGGCTTGGTTAATTAAAAAAAATGGTTCAAAACTCGTTTCGGATATAGGGGGTGCTGGTGGTTCAATTCTAAAGTCATTTCCGAGTTTTTTTAAAAAAAAATCAAAACTTCCAAAACTTCTGAATCACTTCGTTAATGTGGGCACACATGTGAAATAGGCAAAAACAGCACTGGCACTGGGGGAACTTCAGGGGATTCTCCCTCACACATTTTTAGACCAATCCTGATGAAACTTGCTACAGTGGTAGAACACATGGAGCACTGTTAGCTCACCATATTTCATAACCTTTAACTTCTTCATAGACTTTTTGCAATTTTTCAAATTTTCTTTAATTATTTCATTATTTCATTATTTCATTATTTTCTTTAGTAATAAAGAAAATCTGTTCCTGGTTTGAAAGCATTATTTCCTGTTTCATTGGGCGGTCTTTACTTTGAAAGTAGTTGTTCTACTACAAACACTTTGTTTGTGTGGCACAAACTGTGTTAAATTAGAAGTCATAGTACAGACCCCATTAAGGGACATCTTGACTGACCGCCTTCTTCAGGGAAGAAAGGCACCATCCAAACTCTCTTAACATCCATTTGCTTCCTCCACTGAGTTGGAGGGAACCCTCAAGACACATCCATTTATTCCTATTTGCAGATGCAATCAATCGTTTTATTTTATCATTACTTATTGAGTGTAAAGGGCTGGCTGGCTGTGGCTGACTACCCCAGTGCCTTGTTCATGGCAATCAAGCAAAAGTAAAATGATTGTTTTTTAAGCAGTTTGTGTTCTCTTGGCTTTGCTGCCTTCTGTAGACACCTTTGTAGATTCAATCTATTTATTTTATATTTAGATGAAGACTTCTACAGACAGTTATTTTGGGTCCTTCAGCCATTTTGGCTAATAAACAGCAAGGCAGTGTGGGAAATGTAGTTTAACAGCACGGCCTTTTGCAGTCTCTACCATTGAGGGCCTTGCCTTCACAAACTACTACAGTTAAAGATAGCTGTGATTAGCCATGCCCACCGCTTCCCTCCTTGCATCACCCATGGCGTGAAAGGCATGAGATTTTAAAAATTCCCTTGCTTAATGGTAGTGAAAATTAAAATATTATTGGGAGACATCCGAATATTATAGAATATTTCCAAAAAATAAAAGGTAAGTTGTTCAGATTCCCCCCCCCCCTTTTCTGCATGGTTCAAAACTGCTTCAGAAGTCAAAATTCAGAAGTTTTTTCTGACTTTCAGGTTCTTCCAAACAAACCTATCGAATCCTAGTAGTGATGTGAGTATTGGACTATGACTTTGGAGACTAGGGCTCAAATCTCCACTCTGCCATAACCCTCAGACTCAGAGGAAGGCAATGGCAAAACTCTTCTGAACAAATCTAGCAAGCAAACCCGCCTTAGGTCACCATAGGTCAGAAATGACTTTAAGACACATAACAACAAACTTTCCAAACATACTAATGAATATTTGGAAATTAATTATTTTGACAAGTAAACTTATGTCATGCTTTGTACAAAACCCCTGGTTTCCACCACTTTATTCTTGTTTTTGAGAAATTGGTGGCTTGCTTCATTCAAAGACCACACAAGAACTATTGGTTCCATTGTATTTTTTCCCCCTCTGCATTCATACTAGTCCCTTACTCATTGCATATGAGGTCTGTGAATACCCAGGCTCTCTGTTACTGAACATATATGTGCTGCAAACATTGTTTTATTTATATTTACATCTTTTTATATGCATTGAAAATCTGGATTTTATACAAAGAAGTATGAAGGTTCAATAAATATAACAGTCGTAGATGGAGAGTTTGCATTTCTATGAGGGAGGGAATGA